TAACAAAATGAATCCAAAAAATCCAAAAATGGAAAAGGAAGTGATCTACATACTGAAATTGTGCAATAAATAAATTGATAAAATAAAATTGATAAAAATAAATAATATAATTATTGATAAAATAAATAATACAATTATTGATTAAAATAAATAATATAATTAAAAATAATAATATGATATAAATTGTCAAAATACAAATTAATTAGGTTCAGGACAAAGAATATCTCTATATTGAATATCTACATGTTGCCGAATATTTGTATATAAATATCTCTTTCGTTTATCTGTTAAAGGAGTAGTTCCAAGTGTATTTAATGGACTGTTTTTATCAAAATTAGTATTTTTAAATAGTTCAAAACAAATTTCTGGGTCTCCCAATTTTTTTGAAACATAGACCTTTCCAATATCATCATCCAACCTACCAAAACGAAAATGATGATATTTTCTTATATTTGGCAATTTTCTAAAATGTTCTTCTAACATTGAGTTAAAGTCATACCAGCTCCAACCCAACCCATTATTATATCTAATAGATTCATTATTTATTGATGAATCATTTATAGCTTTTTCAACATCATCAACAATATTTATGTGTCTATCTCTGTATTTTTTTTTTTATTAATCCAAAAAAAGAGTCACAAATAAATTTTGTATGTCCAGGAATCATAAAATTTATGTAAATATTTTCATACCAGCCTAACATTGCTAACCATGACCAGAAATAGAGTGATAGATTATTCTTATTCTGTCCAGAACAATTATCACATGTTACATAAAGATCTTTTTTGTCAACATGTCCAATTGTCTTAAGAAAGTGATATACCATATTCAAAGTTGTGTTAGCCCCCTTTTTTGATATTCCTTCTGGCATTTCATCTTTCCCAATAATAAAATTTAACTGATGATTTTCACCATTATCTGTCTTACATATGCCAAAAAGATGTATAATAAATGGAGATTTAAAATAAATTGCCCCAACTTGTTGAGGAGAATAAGGAGCTCCAACACTTTGGGCCCAATCATAACAAATATGTGTTATTGTTGGATCATTTTTGCTTTTATCAATGATATTATTATAGTGTTGTCTTTCAAGATTTGCAGCAGCAAGATGTTCTTCAGATTCAAATTTAATGTTTGCTTGTTCATCTTCATTATTTGATGCTTTAAATTTGATACTAAATTTTTCACAAGTATCACAAAGATCACTTGCATGTGTTTGAAATTTAATAATAGGTTTTGTTCCATGCCATAATTTCCGGAAAGTTTCATATGAGATAATTTTTTCAGATTGATAATTTTCTAAGTTTAATAAGTTTAAATGATATTTGAAATCCTTATAAATCAAAAAAATATTTTTATCAGTTGGGAGATATATAAATGAATCAGAACTATCTTGAATCCTCATTGGAGATGGCAAACCATGAATGTTTGCATATTGAGCTTTAAATTGTTCTACAAAAATTGCTGTATCCAGATTAACTATTGCACAAGAGTTAAGTCTTGGGACATTTTTTAAATTACCATGAAGACGATCACATAGACCATTATTTTGCAAATGTGTTTGTAAAGCTGATAATTTATTTTCACTAATATTACAAATTTTTAAAAATACCTTTTGACAAATATATATAGATGAATTATATTGATACTTATATTTTGTCATTGATTTGTTTTTATCTTTCTTAAATTCAAAAACCATTAATTGAGCTTTAATACAAAGATCTTTTTTTTCATCTTCTAATCCTTTCATTTCTAAATATCTTTCAAAAAATTTCTTAAATCCAATCTCTTCAAAGCAAATTTTTTTACTACGACAGGAACAATTACTTTTATTATTAAAAAATGATTTTAAATCATGAATTGTATTGAGAACTAATTCATTTGGCTCATAATCTTCTAATCCTAGTTCAGCTAAATTATATTCTGAAATAAAATCACTTGATCCAACTTGTTGAGTTGAACTTTCAGACAAGTCAGTTATATCTTCAAATGATTCTATAGTATTTTCAAAAATTTGATGAAATGAATAAGACATTTTAAATATATAATAAATAAATTTTTTTAAAAAAATTTGAAATTTAAAATTTTTATAAATTATTTATTTGTCATTTAAAAATGCTAAATGATTTTTATATATTAATTTATTTGATTTATGTAAAAAGTTCAAAAACGTCATTTTTATTTTTATTTTTTTTATGTTTAAGATCGACATGCACAAAAATAAAAAATTACAGGGATTATGTCGTGTAACCAATTTGTTTTGATAATAAGACAGAACAATTTAATAGTCTCAGACCCCCTTTTTGCTGGTGGACATCCCATTTGTCACTTTGTGACAATCTCAAAATTATACTGCAACGAAATAATTTTAAAATAAAATTCATATGCAAAGTCACGTTCTCAATAAACAAATTTTTTTTTCATGATATAATTTTTAAATAAACTTTGCAACTAGTTATTAAATCAAGAGAGGAGCATGGTTAATTATGATCTAATCAAGATAACGTCAATATCCAAAAAGATTTACTAGAAGCGACTTAACTCACATAGTAGTTTTTACCTTTTCAAGAGATATCTTTTTATTTATTTTTTATTATTGCTTCTTTAAAAAACACTGTATAATTAGATATGTTATTAAGAGAGTAGGAAGGTTAATTATGATCTCATCAAGATAACTTCAATACTCATGAAGCTTTATTAGTAATGTAGTTTCCTCTAAATATGTATTACTTCAATAATTATTTTCTCTATTTATTAATTAAATATTTATTACAGATAAACTCTACCAATTTTTTATTTCATTTTTAAATTTAAAAACAAGTTATATATATGCTCTTCGTTTATATTAATTGAATTATCATCTTCACCATCACCATCCCTATCAGCTTTGTTAGTTTCATTATCTTCTGGTTCAACTACATTGTCAGATAATTTTTCTAATCGGGATACAAATGATGTAATGTTTTCAAAAACACCTCTTTTGTAAAATTCCATACAATGTTCACAACTTTTTTCTAAATCTTCATAGCATCCATAATGATAACTATGACCACAAATCAACACACACCCATCGGTATCTGGAAAATTTGGACCAAATGCTTTTTCACAATGATCGCACAGATCTTTTTTTGGTGGATGTGTTGTATGAAATCCAGTAGGTAATGATTTTAAATCAACCTCTTCACCTAGAGTGCTTAATTTATAACTAATTAATTTTTTCCCTCTATAATGTGGCTTACTTGTATCCAAATTTTTATAAATGCCAAAAAAATATTCTATTAGAAAACAACTTGTCTTTTTAGTCAGATAATCTAATTGTGCTGGTGAATATGGATATTTTTTATTTTTGGAAAAAGCGTCAACAAATGGTGATTTTTTATAAGAATCAATAAGAAAAGCTTCTTGTATTATTGACTCAGGTGATGAAAACTTATTGGTTTGTGCTCTTATTTTGCTATGTATATTCTCAACAAAATAATCATTAAAATTTACTAATGATTTCTCCAATAACTTTGCAAATGGGTGATTATTTTTTTTCCAATAAAAGTAGTCGGATAAAAATGCAAGAGGAATCTTATTATAATTTTTTCTTCTCCATCTCAAAAAAAACATCCAGATATGGAAAATTGTCTCAAGATATTGCTCAAAAGCCCATCGAAAAAGAATAGTGTATATATCTAAGGTTGCTGGTATAATATTATCTAGTAGATCAATCATCATCCTATATTCAACATCTTTAATTTTTTGAAATTTTTTTAATATATCCTCAGAAATTCCTAACCATGCATCATGAACTAATTGGAGAAGAAGATTAATTCACCATGGTTTGGGCTTTTTTGCAAATTTTTTTCTTTTCAAATACATCACAAAATAATTTCTTGAAGAAATCATAATATATAAGAACAACACATTCTCTCGAGTTCAAGGAAACATGTAATGGACCTAACATTGGAACAAAAATTTGTATCCAATCAATATCATTTATATTTAATTGATTATTTAAATATAATGTAATAGCCTTTCTAATAAAAAGCTGTCCTGGATAGTCTGCTATTACAGGTATTACATTTTTTTTTATATATTCTGATAAACTTTTTATGCTAGCTATCATTTTTATTGCTGACAAATAATCTTCCAAGGAACGAAGGCTTTGCTGCTTCACATTAATTATTTTCACTGATTCCATAGATCTTTCTTCTTTCTTTTCTTCAATATCTTCATTATACATATGGACTAATAAAAGCCCAATGCGATCAAATTTTTTATCATCAATCATTTTATCTTTAACCCATTGTATCTTCACAACATTATAACTTTTATCAAAAATTCCTCTATAATCATTAATTAAGTTTTGAATTAATTAATGAATATTCAATATTATCTGGATTAAAAATAGGTACATTTTCAAAATTTGCAGGAACCACAGGAATATTTTCAATTTTTTTGACAACACATGTTGCCATATGTATTGCTGAAGATAACGATGTGGAATCAGGTCTTCTCCACTCATGAATTAATGGTAATCATCAATATTAAAACAATGCATATATTGAATGTTGTAAAAAAAATACTCTTCTATTATTTTTTGATGATTTTCAGCAACTTTCTTTTTGTAAGTTTGGATTGTTTTATAACAAGCTGAGATATTTGCATTTGATAAGGTGTCAAGTGCAGCAGCACTAGTTCCATTTGCTTCTAAATAGAGTCCAAGGTCTAATTTAAAATTATTTACAAATTTATTTCTTATGCCAGCTAAAAGATAACAAAAGCCAACAATAGATTTTTTGGCAGACTCCTTATTTGAATGTGTGCGTCTTTCAGGAATTATTTTTTCTAATTCATCAAAAAATCCTTTCAATTTTGGTTCTTTTTCTTCAATTAATTTACAAAAGTTTATAGGGTCCAATTCCATTGTCTCATTTGATCCACGTTGTTGTTTGAGAAGTACATTTGTTAATAGTTCAATTTTATCTGAGAATGTCAAATTACTTTTTTTTAAGTTATTCTGGACTGTTAAAAAGACATTATTTGCATCAAACATGTTTTCAATTTTTTTATTTTTTCTTCAATTTTCGTTTCCAAATTTTCAATTTTTTGCATTAATAAACCAAAATCTTCTCTGGATAAAAGAACTCCATTTTCTGTGACATTAATCTTGATATTATTTGAAGAATTTTCATTGACATTCAATTGCTTACGTTTATAATATGCTACATACTTCATGTAGTGATTAGCACAAAGTTGTTCATTTAATCTTAAATAATTTATGCTTTCATAGTCTTGGTGTTCTCTTATATTTTTAAACACATTGTCTGTTATAGTTCTGAAGTTAACATCTTCAGGATTTTTATCATTATTATCACAATTCTTGATTGCACAAGGACCAGAGTTTTTATTTCCACGCATCATTGTTAGAATTTAATCAGCAAATGTTTTGAAGGATTAAAATTTTATTTTTATTAAGTAGTATAAAATATATAGTATAGTGATATTGAATAGTCAATGGTTAATAGTCAATGGTTAATAGTTAATAGTAAACGGTTATAATAATAGTTAATAGTTAATAAGTCAATAGATTTTATTTTTAATTAAATTTTTATAGGATTTCTTTCTTATTTATAATTTTTTTAATACCGAAGTTGATAAATAAATAGACTTGAGAGTCAAATTAGAATTAAAAATAGTTCTTCCTTTTGGATATTATTATTAAAGAGCGAAACACGTAAAATTTTTGGTTTAGAGATCGGCCGAAATTTCTATTTTTAGAAGCGATCACACACCCGTTTTTGTCACATTTCACAACCAATCAAATCAAACTTCCACGCTTCAATTTCATATGTTTTACTAATAAACTTTAAAAAATTGAAAATAAAACGTCCCCATAATCAGAAAAATGATTGTACAAATGTGACTCCAAACAAACCCCCTAACTTTATATTATCTCCAAAATATTTATTTGATATAAAAAATTATTTATATTTTTTTTCTTTTCCAAGATATACAAGGATCAGGTCATAAGATAGTAAAAATATTGTTAAAAAGAAAGGTAGAATGCCATAAAACTGGTAGAAACATATTTTAGAAGATATTTCCAATAAATATAAGCATAAAAAATTTTTTTTTTCAAAGCTTTAATAAAAGATCTTTCCTAATTACAATAAAGAAAAACCAAAAAGCTTTATTTTATTTAAATATTGGACTCTTCTTTTATTGAAAAAAAAAATATGACCACTACTTCTCTTTCACCTCAAGGAACGAAAATTTTTTGGATCAAAAAGTGTATTTGTTTTATTTGAAAAGTTTACAAAGCAAAAACGTTATTTTTGTTATATAAAATGGTAAAATTTTGTGAATTTCAAGGGTGGACAGTTTTGGTTTTGTGAATTACTAGTGTGTAACATTCTTGTTGAACCCCCATACCCCTAGATATTTTATTGTAAAGGTCATGTTATTTGTAATACCCCAAGAGGTATAAAAAGGCTTGGTTTTAGACCAAGTAAGAATTATTATGTTCATGATACAATCATAATAACCTAATAATAACATTGTAACTAAATTATTATTGCTAATAAAGGCACATAACACTTTTACAATAAATAATCTGATCCTTATAAACAAACTTTTTCTGAATTTTTGCTGAAAAGCATCTTCCACTTTAGTCAGAACTACTCTACCTTTGGGATGCCTTAGCTAGAGCAGCTGTATACACTCCCCTAAAAAAAGTATCAACTCACTTGATGATCTGTGAAAATAATTGGGTAAATGGGTAATACAAATACTTAGAGATGTTCCATGCACATGATTTTTTTTCAAATCATGCAATGTCACATACAGAAAATGCGGAAATTAAATTTTACCCAATTAAAATTAAACACACATTTTTACATTTTAATTAATTTTTTTATCATTAAAACTACCCATAAAACATTTATACTATTCTTTAAAAATGACAAATTCAGACATTTGGTCTCATTTTACCAGATTGGGTAAAGTTAGTGGTTATAAGCAAAATAGAGCAAGTTGCAACTATTGTAACTATGAGTTAAATGAAGCTCTTGGAAGGTGTAAACAACATTTGAAGAAATGTAATTCCGTACCTGTTTCTATCATGCAATCTATATTTGGACAAACCCATCCAATAACATCATCATCATCATCATCATCATCAACTATAACTACAATTTCAACTAATTTGCAAAATCATTCAATAAGTAATTTTGTTGATAGAATTTCTAGAACTGAAGTGATTTTTCTTAAAAAAAAAATTTAAAAAAAATTTAAAAATTTAAAAAAAAAAAAAATGCACTGCATAAAATGCACATGAAATTTTGAAATTTCATGCAATTTCCCATCCCTGGGCAGGTCGTTTTGCCAGAATTTTGGCTGATTGACATTGAAATTTTACTAATAAAAACTTGAATTGAATGTCTTCAGTCCCTTATTTTATACCCTTGTTTTGTATCAATTGTCACCAAAATTTCCACATTGTTTATTTTTCATGTTCTTTATTTTGTAAAAAAATTTCAAGTAAGGTTAATAAAAGAGTGGAAAAGAATCAAGGTCTCAAAAATTTTTTTGTCTGTGTGTGACAATAGAAATTTCACATCTTGCGAGTAAACTTGTAAAACTAATGAAGTATTTAAATATTTTAAACATTACAATTATATTTAAAGAAATTTTAAATAATGAATAGTTTGACTTTTTATTTTTATTTTATTACATTTTTATTATATTTCTTTGTTATATTAATTACACAGGAAGGATGTTCATTCATAGATACTTGTCATGTATTTATAATCAATTATTATACTCATTATTTGTGTTAATTATATATTATATTATTAATTTGATTCTTTTATTATAGATATAAAGAATAATTAAATAGAATCAGGATAGAGATACTTGTAACTTATAATTTTGACTTTTTTGTTAAATCATTATTCTTAAATCTTTTGAAATTTCAGAATTAACTTTTTTTATTATGATAATATATTGAAGATAGAATTGACAAGATATGGCGATGACATAAATTATGATGATGCTTACCAACCAACCTTTAGACACATTATCCAAATAATACTGATCAAGAATATAGATGTTAGTCACAACTTTTGATGGTGGTCACAATAACCTTTGTGATTGTTTTGCTCTCTTCTTTGAATTTTAATATGGACATATTTGTCAATAAAACATCATAAAAAAGATCAAGATGTGTAACTACATTAGAAGCTAAAACCACATTACATCTGTTATCCAAGAATAAATTTCTGAAGAATAAACATTAAACTATCTTACCTACTTTAAATATGAAAGCAGATCTAAGTGACATTGCTCAATAAAAATTAATGAAAATATACATTTTATATATTTTTGAAAATTCTGTCAAGTGAGTTGTCTTTATGGTACTAATGAAGTCTAAAGAACAAGGTTCGCTTTGGTTTATTGACTATTGTAATCAGCATAAAGCTGCCTTGTTGAAAAGAATCAACATTTTTAGTGTAAATTTTCATGTGTATTTCAACCCATTATTGTGAGTTCAAAAAGCAGCTTTGTTTTAAATAAAAGGTGCCAAAATATTTATTGAAACTTCAAGAAAATTTTTTATATACATCATTTTTTTAATCTATTAAGAAGTTTATGTGTTATAAATGTTAAAAGAAATTCTTGGCATTCAAGTGAATGTTACATGCACTAATTAAAAAAAAGAGAAAGGATTTGCACACTGGCTGATATATTCTCTTTTTTTTTACATATATATATATTTTAAAAAATTTTTTTAAGAGGCTTATTCTTTGATATTAAAATTTTTTGTTTCAAAAAAATTACATTTGATTTCATATATATATAAAGCTTTTTTTAGGTGGTTTTTCTTGTATAGATGGGTATTCATTTTAGAAAAAAAATATATTTCAAAAATTTCTCTGTCTTTTTATTTGGTTAATATATAAATAAAGAAGAAATCTTGTTAATTCACAATTTACAACCTCAATGAATTTTGAAACAAGCTTTCTTTAAATCATATGCCAAATTATTTATAATACTGTAAAATAGTAAATTATAAATCATGGGAAATTAACGAAGTTGCATGCAAATAAAATCGGAAAAACTGATCAAGTATTCAAACCAGCCCAATTTCATATTTTTATTCATTCCTAGTTGAACTTTCATCTTCATTTCCATTTTCATCAAATCCAAGGCTCAAATTCATAATGTCTTCCATAAACAAAATGTCATTATTTAAACCAAGACTTTCATCCTCCTTTTCATTTTGATCTTCACCCTCCTCTTCTTCACCATACTCAAATAAATCATTATCCTCACTATATTCAAACAAATCATCATCTTCAGCCATTGCTGCAGTAATCTCTTGAATGGTAGTATCAAGTTCTCATCAGTTAAATCACTATTGGGATAGTTAAGCATTGGTAATATAAAATGAGTGGATTTGTGCCATTGATTGAAGTCGTGTAGTATCTATCCTTAGAAAGTAAAGAGTTTGAATTATATGAGTGATAATATGTGTTCTAGAATTTAAATTATAAATGTAAGTAATACCTTGTTCTCCTTTTGCCAATCATCCAATCTAGGACAGAAAACACCC